CTACCGATTTTCGTATCATCGGCAAATTTGCAAATGTTGCTACTCAAACCTGAATCTAAATCATTTATATATATTATAAACAACAGAGGTCCCAGGACAGAGCCTTGAGGCACTCCACTTACAACATTTTCCCACTCTGACTTGATTCCATTTATACTAACTCTCTGTTTCCTTTGGTATAGCCATGCCCTAATCCAGCTTAATATAGCACCCCCAATACCATGAGACTCTATTTTTTTAATCAGTCTTTCATGTGGCACTGTATCAAAAGCTTTGCTAAAGTCAAGGTATACAACATCGCAATCCTTACCACTATCAACTGCCTCAACAATGCTAGAATAAAAAGATAACAAATTTGTTAAACATGAACGGCCATTTATAAAACCATGTTGCGACTCAATTATTAATTTATGTTTTTCAAGATGAAGACGAATTTTATTTGCTATTATAGATTCGAGTAACTTTCCCACAATAGACGTTAGGCTAATTGGTCGATAGTTAGACGCAAGTGATCTATCTCCACTATCTATATATAAATGATTTAGATTCAGGTTTGAGTAGCAACATTTGCAAATTTGCCGATGATACGAAAATCGGTAGGGAAATTAATTCGGAGGAGGACTCACTATCACTTCAAGTTGATCTAGATAGGGTTTTGAAATGGTCAAAGGATTGGCAGATGCAGTTTAATGCTGATAAATGTAAAGTTCTGAGGTTAGGTAATGATGATAGAGTTACAAGATACGAGCTAGATGGTGTTGTGATTGCGAAGTCGGATTGCGAAAGGGATCTGGGAGTTATGATTAGTAAGAATTTAAAACAAAAGGATCAATGCATAAATGTTCGTAATAAGGCAAATCGGACACTTGGATTTATTAATCGCAGCGTTAGTAACAAGACACCTGGTGTGGTTCTCAAGCTATATCTTGCTCTAGTTAGGCCCCATTTAGATTATGCAGTTCAGTTTTGGTCGCCATATTATAGAATGGATATAAATTCACTTGAACGTGTCCAGCGTAGGATGACTAAGTTAATTCCCCAAATTAGAAATCTTTCATATGAAGAAAGATTAACAAAGCTTAAGTTGCATTCACTGGAAAGGCGAAGAGTTAGGGGTGACATGATAGAGGTTTACAAGTGGATGAATGGACATAACCGGGGGGATATTAATAGGGTATTAAAAGTATCAACACAGGACAGAACACGAAACAATGGATATAAATTGGATAAGTTTAGATTTAGGAAAGACTTGGGTAAATACTGGTTCAGTAACAGGGTTGTTGATTTGTGGAACCAATTGCCGCGTAACATTGTGGAGGTGGGGTCCCTCGATTGTTTCAAGCACGGGTTGGACAAGTATATGAGTGGGATTGGGTGGTTATAGAATAGGAGCTGCCTCGTATGGGCCAATAGGCCTTCTGCAGTTACCTTTGTTCTTATGTTCTTATGTTCTTAAGTTCCGGATTAGCCGGACTGTGGTGGGTATGTGGGCCTGCGGGCCGCTCCAAGCAACAGCCTGGTGGACCAAACTCACAATTCGAGCCTGGCCTCAGGCCGGGCTTGGGGGAGTAGAAGAACTCCCAGAACCCCATCAAGTAGGTATCAAGCAGAACGAACGAACCTGACAGTACTACCGGGACCCTAAAGTATCATACAAATTGTCACCCACACTTATCAGAACCTAAACCTAAATGGAACCTAAAGTGAATGGAAGCTAAAGTATCATCATTGGCGTGGCAGCTCCAGTTTGGAAGGTTCTTGTTATTCAACCTGTCATTTTTCTTGACATTTGTGACAGCTACTTTGTTGTGTTCTTTAAAAGTAAGGTTTTTCGACATGATTGCTCCTAAATCTTTTACATTACTTTTTCTTTGAGTAGTGTGCTTTGCCTGTTTTATATGTGGTTTCTGCTCTGATGTTTTTAATTTTTTCCATTTGCAGTAATTGAAATTAATCCTCATTAAACATCATGTTATTTTCTGTGGCCAACCATTTTTGGGTGGAAGACCTGATTAACCTGTTTCCTCAGTAGTGTCTATTCATGAAAATCCTAGTGTCATCTGCAAAGGATGATACAGTACTATAGTTTGTATCCTTGTTAATGTCTGAGGTGAGGAAAAGTACTGGAGCAAGCACAGTACCCTGGGGGACTGAGCTTTTCACGGAGGATGATTCAGATTTTACTTTGTTGACTTTTACACTCTGGGTTTTGTTTCTTAGGAAGCTAAAGATCCATCTCCCAACCTTGCTTGTCATTCCTTTCGCACACATTTTGTGTGCAATAACACCATGGTCACATTTGTCAAAGGCTTTTGCAAAATCTGTGTATATTACATCAGCTTTCTGCTTGTCTCCCATGGCATATAAGGCCATGTCATAGTGATCTAGCAATTGTCAGAGGCAAAAGGGCCCTGTTCTGAACCCATATTGCCCGTGGGTTATATAAAAACTGCGATTCCATGTGTATTGTAATCTTAATTCTTAGCATTCTTTCAACAATTTTTATGATATGTGATGTTAGAGCTGTTGGTCTATAATTTGTGTGCATCTTCATTGTGACCTCCTTTGTGAAGTGGTGTGATCTATGGTGTCTTTAGCATATTGGGGATAATGCCAGTATCGTGGTTCTGTCTCCGAAAGATGTCTAGGGTCTGTAATATATATTTATTTATTTATTTATTTATTTATTTATTTATTTATTTATTTATTTATTTTTTGGGGGCTATTCTTGATAAATATAAAATTCCAGGAGTCAAGGCCTGGTGCAGAGTGTAGGGTATGCTGTCTCAGGCTACTTCAGTCGAGTTGGGTTAGGGGTAACATCTGATATATGGTTTGATTGTGGTATCATATTCATAAAGAATTTGTTTGGATCACTGCTCTGCAATGTGTTCAAGGGTTCACTGAAAAAATCATATTGTAGCCCCAGTATTTCACTCGTTTGTTTGCCGTCATCTGTGAAAGTTCCATCACTTGTGCAAGGGCCCAATGCAGGATGTAGTTTTTGTTCCAGACTTTCCATAGGAGAAAATGTATTTTGGATTCCTCTCTCTTTCTCTTATGGTCTTTTGCTCTCTTTGCCTCTCCAGGATTTTATATGATTCTTGCAACCATAGCCCAATTGTTTCTATTTCTCTACATAGCCTTCTTTGTCATTGTTGGGATAGAGTTGAGCATTTGAGATGCTCTGCAATTTGTTTTTGTTGCTTATAGAGGGAAACCTGTTTTCATGCCAGTTTGCATCTTTTTCTCTTTCTCCTTCAGTGGTATGTGACTTGAATATATTTCTACTGCTACTGTGCATATTTCTACTGTACTTTGCCTATTTTCTCCAGACACTGGTTTAAGTTTGCATTATCTAACTGTCTTTTTCCAGCATATTTCTGTGAGTGCTTACTTTATTTGTTCCCCAGTTAATCTGCTTGTTGTTGAAATTGAGTTTGCTGTATTTTCCTCCTTTTGGGATTGACTGGCTGCATAGGTCTATTGCCCCATGCATATTTGAACTTCAATGGGGCTGTGATCTGAGTAATGTGTATATGTAATCATTATGTCCCTAATCAGTTCATCATTGTTTATAAAAAATAAGATTTAAGGTGTTTTCTTTCCTAGTTGGTTATACTATTTGTTGGTTTAAGGCAAGTCTGTCACATTTGCAAGAGGTCATCTGTGTGTGACTTAACTTAAATAGATTGCTGGGATTCTCTCTGGTACTGTATTTGCCACATTTTTCCGATTTATGTGCTATAAATTGAATCGCCAAGCAAGATGATGTTTGGGGTAGGGTTTGTGAGGTATTCAAAGCAAGTATTCTATTTTTGTAAATGGGGCATTTAAACTGCTGAGGATTTGCATTTGATGATTTATATACAAGGTCAGTCACCACATTTTGGATTTCCATTTTGAGTATCAGCACTTTCACCATATCATTTGTGGTGTTTAGCAGCTCTGTGCAGATGAATGTATCTTTAATGTACAGGGTAACCCCTCCCTGTAGCTTATGGGTTATCTAACATGGGTGGTACTCGAACAAGGAAACACAGGTGGAAGCCGAGTACCCAAATAAGCCACAGAGACATTAGAAAGAACTTTTTCAGTGTCAGAGTAGTTAACAAATGGAATGCACTAGGAAGGGATGTGGTGGAGGCCGATTCCATACACAGTTTCAAATGTTGATGTGATGGAGCTCAATAAGCTTGGGAACCTGTATACCATTTGATTGACAGTTGAGAAATGAGACTAAAGAGCTGGAGCTCAACTGCCACAAGCACAACTAGGGGAGAATACAATTTCCTTCATAAACACTATTTCTGATTTATTTCTATAACTTTGTTTGACTTTTGTTTGGCAGATATTTACACGTGTATGCACTGTTTCACTCGGATATGTCTTGTTTATCCCTCCCAAAATTTTGAAAGCACTGAAGCTCCATAGCCCTCAACCCTCCCACAGCAACACACCTCATCTCATGGTCCTTTCTTAACTCATATACAGTAATAACATTTCTTCCTTCCATTAAACTATTCACTTCTTTCACTCTTATCATACTCATTATTATTGAAGTTACATGTCAAACAGTGTTATCAATAAATACGTTTGTTTTCTAACCTATCGAGTACTATGCTATGCTATATTAAATTATGCAAATAGCAGAGATGGCTGCAGTATATGGCAAGGTAGTACAATATCCTTACTGTGTAAGAGGCTTAAAAATAAAAAGTGCCATGATCATCTTGGTACTAGTTACAACCTTATAGACTGAATATTAAATACTGAACTGTATTGCCAAAAATCTAAAGCAATTGTGATTAAATTTCTTGTTAATTTTTGATGTTAGAATACTTGAGTGTTGTATGTTCAGTAAATGGATCTCTACAAGTGACTTTATATGAGAAAAGTGAAAAGTCCCTTTGAGAGAATAAATTGATGGTGTCATTTGTGAGAATAGTTGTAAGTATTGTAAATGTTACTGCTTAATTAGCTGTCTCCAATTTTTGCAGGCTGTGGAAAAAGAGGCATATGATGCACAGTGTCATGACTCGGGGCGTGAAGATTTCCTGAGGCGAGTGCCGTGCCCTAATGGAAGTTTATGTCCTGACGAGGACAACCCAACAAATGTAATACCCAATAATCAGCTTACATATGCCATACAAGATATCAATAATCCAAGGTGAGGCTGCATGTACAGTACTTGACATTAATCTCAGATATGCTGAACCTTTTGACAAAGATATTTCTTGAAACCCACTTACCCTATGACCAAGAAATTTTGTAAATTCTTTAATGTTTGTTTACTGTATGTACTGTATATGAGTACAGTAATATAAATGAAGATGAGGTAATATTCAAAATCACATACAGAAAGCGGTTTCTTATCATCTATATAATTTCTGTGTTTCTGGGTAGGCTCTCTCGGTAGTTGCTTGTTGCTTGTGACAACAGCACTGTAGGGGCATGGTAGACATGCCAGGCTTCTCAGATCATCTCTGCCCATGACAAGTCAAGTACACTTGACTGTTGAAAAGCCCTGTTGAAAAGCCCTGACCAATATCTTTGGTCCTGTTGAAAAGCAGTGGTGCAATAGGTACTCTTGAGAGAGGGAACTCTATCAACTCTGTTCAGAGTTGATAGAGGTCCCAAGACTGTTCAATACGCCTGACCTGAGACTGTTCAACACGTTTCCACTGCACATAAGGGGCATAACTGACCGACCCCTCACAGCGTTCAAGAGAGAACTCGGTAAACACCTCCAAAGGATACCTGATCAACCAGGCTGTAATTCATACGTCAGGCTGCAAGCAGCTGCATCCAACAGCCTGGTTGACCAGTCCATCAACCAGGAGGCCTAGTCAGAGACCGGGCTGTAGGGACCTTGACCCCTGGAATCAGCACAAGGTGATCACAAGGTAAGATAAGGGGAAGGAGGAAGAGATGTACCAGTAGTGTGTGATAAGGCAAGGAATTTTGTGTGACTAGCCAGGGACATACTTGTACTCTTGGACGCTATCTGTTGTCAGGGTCATCGGTCACTGATAAAGATATAGATTATCTTGGTTAGAGATATCATATCGCATGGGATATATTAGTTGGTCACTGAATGTCACTGATAATTTCCAATATGGTATTTTGAGGAATGCACTTTAGAAGGGTAATTAGTGTATAATTTATTCATTTTAATTGCCTAATTGCAGTTAAAGAAAGAGTTATACTTATGGTGTTCCATTTTTATTAATTTTATCCACTGTGATACTAAAACTAGCCATTTTTTGTTTTCTGGCACATAAAACTTTCAACTTCAGGTTTTTATAACTTTAACTACTGTATAACAAAGACAAATATTCTGATAATCTTTCTATACCGTGTCATTATTTTGTATGTGGTGATCATATCCCCACATTTTCTTTTATCTTCCTATTTTGGTTGCTTTAGGAAATTTTTAGGAAATCTTTTCTTCATAGGTCATGTGCTTACATATACAGTTGTCTGATTTCATATAAATGTGTAGACATTTATGTATACTTGTAGCTGCTCACACATGCATATAGAAAGGTGTGCCAAAAAATATATGATAATGATAATCCAGTATTGCATTTAATAGTAGATACTTAATAGTGAGAATAAGATGACAGTAACTCTGTTCAAATGCTGCTATTGTGTATTGTTACTTACTGGACAAGACAAATGTCTTCAGTACTATACTCTGCCCCACTTACTCTACTCTACTCCTCTTGCTATAAATACTCTTCTACATAGGCATTGTTTTTACTTCTAATGCTTCCATGGCTTTGTCATATTGGTTGAGGAATTGCAAAAGGCAGGAACTTCCCACTCTAAATCCATGTTGACTTGAGTTGTGGCATTCATTGTTCTCTGTAAAGCTGGAGAATTGATTCCTGGTCACTTTTTGAAAAACTTGAATTGTATGTGATGTTAGTGTGACTGGTCTTGAGATTTTAGCCATGGTTTGCTACCTCCCTGGTCTAGTGGAGGTATATCTGCTCATTTTAGTGTTTCTAATACTGTACAGTATCTCCTTTTTCTCCATAATACACTGAGTGCTCATGTTACTCTTACTGTATTTTGCATTTCTTTATGAATATGGAATTAATTCCAAGAGTCAGGATCTGGGGCCGAGTGCATAGGTGTGTTGTAAATTTCTCTTTCAAAGTCTGCTGTGGTCGCCTTATTAGCTATATCAAGAATTTCAACTTTTGTATTGTTTATTGGGGGTGTTAAATATAACCTCATAGGATTTTGGTAATTTCATTGTTGTCCTCTGTGTATGAACAAACTTTTACATACAAATCCAATAATGCTTGAGATTTTTTATTTTGCATATGTGAACAAATATTTTGAATATTACTTCTTAATTACTTGTATTGCTTTCTGTTCCAATTGCATTTCTTTAGTCTGCTGTGATCACTTCAGCTTCTGCTCTATTTCTTCAATTTCCCTGTTTAAATTCCCTCCTTTGTTGGAATATTTGTTTCTGCTTAAGCACTTCAGTTATTCTATTTCTATTCTATTTACTATTTCTTCTATTTACTATTCTATTTATTTATTTTACTATTTACTATTCTATTTATTTATTTTACTATTTACTATTCTATTTACTAAATAGTTACTCTATTTCTATTTCTTATTCTATTCTATTCTATATTCTATTCTAGTTATTCTATTTCTTCTCCTATAGAACAGGGCATTAAATTCCATACAATGTTTCACTTTTATGCCACTTGGAACACCCATACAGGTGGGGTAGTGTAACTTGCATAATCAACAACTAAACCCTTTGTTCCGTATTCAGGTTTAATTAACAAGTTAATTATGTTCGGAGACTTCATCTTAAATTAAAATGATTGTTACATGGTGACAAGAAAACTAGATTCATTGTATTGCTTTGATGAGTCACTCTGCAGGCTTTGATTGAAATGCTTCCCAGTACAGTATTTGTTTTTCTGCTTGTTTTTCTTATGTTCACATTTCAGCAATCTATTTTGGGTAAATATTATCTAATTACGGATGCAGCTGATGAGTGACAATAACGTGGCCGAAGATATGTTGTCCAAAACCACACATCAGAAAAGGAATTCCTGATGACCTTTTGAACCATTCTGGACCATTATTAAGTGGTGTAATTACACAACTTGATAATGGTCCGGTGCAAACCGAAACATTGTTGTTTCTTCATTTTCTGAAGTGTGGCTTGGACAACATATCAAGGATCTCGTCTCTTAAATACAGTAATGTAATATCATTCGTACTGCTCATCATCATTATTTTATGAATACTATTACCAGTATTTTGCAGGTTTTGGTACCTGAGCTTAGTGGCGTGTAAGAGGAACACATCGTGTGCATGGCAGCACGTGTCTACATCTATGGAGATGGAATACGACTTAAACATTGTAAATGGCAAGCCTAATGCTGCGGACCATAACCCCTTTGAATATCATTTTTCATTTGATAAACAGGTTAGTACTCTTACATTCATTTAAATTGTTGGGGAAGAGGTGCATAAACCCCCATTCCCCACTTGCTCTCCTCAACACAAACACAGTGAGTTAGTGCTAAAGCTGAAAAGTTCCTTGTAGGGTTAGGAACAATTTGAAGAATTACTTGAAGATTTTCAGACTGTGCTGCTGTCGTGCATTTTTAAATAATTAACTGATCTCTTGATTCTGCAAATGGTTGGTTGTCCTGTTTGTAAATGTCAGCTAGGAAATTATTGCATGTATATTAAGTAGTGTTCAGAAGTCCAGGATACTCACTGTGGCCTTAAAGGTGAAGAGAAGTAGCTTCACACACTGAAAACAAAGCATAGTATGATTAGTCCAGCTTGGGATGTAGAGGAACTTAGTTATTCAATTTAAATTGTCTTAAAGGTTTCACTCCAAAGAGGAGCGAGACCTTTTCCACTCTTAAGTGGAAAAGACAAGTGTGGGGTAAAAGTCCGGTAAACATTTGGAAGATAACAACTCGCTAACAGATAATTTGGATTTAAACCTAAAAAATCCTGCATGTTAACCACTGTGATGTGCTTCGTTTATTGTGACATTCCCCCTGTGCTCCGAAAATCAAGTGTTCTCCCAAAAAATTTTGATCTTTGTAAAATGATAAATTCTCTTACCTGAACACGTACATGTAGGAAAAAAAAAATCCACTTACTATGGCTGTGGGGACGTGGAGAAGAGGGTGTGTTTGCTGTGTGCCCGTGCTTGAAGCTCCCAGAGGTGGTCGCGCAGCACCACTACATATCTGTCAAAGCAGATATGTAGATTGGCTACAGCAGATATCAATTTATTCATTCTTTATTATTATTTTTACACTGTTTTCCATACCTTTACTATGCTATGCCATGCATAGCATAGTAAAGGGGAGTATGGAACACAATGTAAAAATAATAATAAAGAATGAATAAATACAGTACAGTATATGCAAAAACGATGACAACACTAGCCTCGTCCGCTATTAAGAATGAATCGGCTTCTCTCTTGCTTTGGTTAGTCCAATTTTTTCTTTACTCTCAAGTACCCATGTGTATATTACCACCACTGACAAATAAACAGTAATCTTTACAGATAACTGTGAGGCTTTTAACCAAAATTACTTCTACTTTAAATTCTCTAAGCAGATCTCAGCACGAAATGAACTTATAACTGTCACTAGGCTACAGCATAAAATTGAACATTATATATCATGATATCAATTATCAACACATATAGCAGTGTTTATAGATCAAAATACATTTTCACTAATAATTATAATATTAAATCTTAATTGTTTCCTGAGGAATGTCTATGGGATTGCATTCTTGAGGTTACCTTGAGATGATTTCGGGGCTTAGCGACCCAGCAGCCCGGTCGTCGACCAGGCCTCCTCGTTGCTGGACTGGTCAACCAGGCTGTTGGACACGGCTGCTCGCAGCCTGATGTATGAGTCACCTGGGGAAGTCAGTGGTTTGACCTTTGGGGGACCTCAGTATAAGCTTAATATCTACACACACACAGGCTGCCTGTCACTGATAAAACAGTTATTATTATTAACTTAGTTTTGTAAATGATAAAATAACCTGCCAAGTAGTTTTCTTATCAAAATGTGTGCAAAAATGTATTTTGTACTTTACCCTGATAAAAATATGATTTAATAATTGTTAAAACAAAAATTAATGAAGGTCATAATTAGTGGTGAGAAGTAGCTGGCCCCGTTGCAGAGGAAAGGGGTCCAGGACAAATCGTTCCATTCTAGCAGGGTTTCACTCTACCTTATCTTTTTCAAATTTGTTTCTTATTGGGGATTCAAATACAGCATAGTTACACTGTATCACCAAAACTCTAGAATAATTGTACCTTGAATTATATCATCTGTAATTTCATGTATCACTACAGATAATGCATATTGAGTGACTTAGTATGGGTGATTTAAATTGACCATTTGTGCTTTACAGGACACAGTTGAGATCTACCTTGTGTGTGTGGTGCTGTATGGCTGTGTCTTGGTACCTCTTCAAGTTTATGCAGCATGTCGACAGGTGAGACATTTTGCACCAGAGGTTTTATTCCGAACTGTAATTATGTAACACACTCATTCCCGTATGAGTGGAAGTTTGATGCCCTAGAATACCCGATGAAATCTATGAAGTTCTTAGTACTATACTAGAATTTAATTGAAACAAATAATTTTTGAGTAATTTTATTCTTTGTATGTTTTTGTTTCACAATAAACTATGATTAGCCCAAATACTTTATTTTTTTTTTTGTTACTGAAGCATGCTAAACTATCCATATTTGCCATTAAATATAATATACATTTCATAGACAATTATATTTTTCAGATCCACCCTATCACTCGTCTGTTTACAGCTACACTTATAATGCAGCTGGCGGGTCTCTTATTTGACACACTGCATCTTCTGGTGTTCTCATTTGATGGTGAAGGAAGCGAAGGAGTCAATATTGTAGGGGATCTTTTCAACATATTGGCTCAGGTAACGTAGGCATTATCATAAGACTAAAAACCTATACAGTACCCTTTTTAGATATTTACCATTATAGGACAGAAGCATAGTTAAGAAGAAGCTGTTTTAAGAACTATTAATTACAAGTATTTCTCCTTAAATTATAATTTTCATCAATAGTACTGAAGTACAGTACTGAGCAGTACTGAAGTATAGTACTGAACTAAAATACTGAGCAGTATAACTAACTTTGGCTGAGAATGACTCTCTTAGGGAGGCCTGACAGCTGAGTTGACAGCGCTTCGGATATGTAGTCCTGAGGTTCCGGGTTCGATCCCTGGTGGAGGCGGAAACAAATGGGCAGAGTTTCTTTCGCCTTGATGTCCCTGTTCACCTAGCAGCAAATAGGTACCTTGGAGTTAAACAACTGCTACGGGCTGCTTCCTGGGGGTTTGTAACAAAAAGGAGGCCAGGTTGAGGACCAGGCCGCAGGGATGCTAAGCCCCGAAATCATCTCAAGATAACCTCAAGATAGGTGCCCTGTAATTAAATAAATATCCATTTAGTGACAGGAATCTAAAAGTGAAGGAGGAGTGTCTGATGATTACTTGGTACACAATTAAAAAATTATTTTTGTCATTGTGTAGCGTTAAACAAGAAGACATGGATTTAACTATGCTAGTATGATGTGAAGGTAGTAGAAGAACCAACATGGCTTGAAGATTATAGAAGAGCCAACGAGATGTAAAGGTTGCATGATGTGAAGGTTACAGAAGAACGAGTGAGATGTTAAGGTTATAGAAGAGCCAACGAGATGTAAAGGTTGCATGATGTGAAGGTTACAGAAGAACGAGTGAGATGTTAAGGTTATAGAAGAGCCAACATGGCATAAAGGTTATAGAAGAGCCAACATGGCATAAAGGTTATAGAAGAGCCAACATGGCATGAAGGTTATAGAAGAGCCAACATGGCATGAAGGTTATAGAAGAGTCAACATGGCATGAAGGTTATAGAAGAGTCAACATGGCATGAAGGTTATAGAAGAGTCAACATGGCATGAAGGTTATAGAAGAGCCAACATGGCATGAAGGTTATAGAAGAGCCAACATGGCATGAAGGTTATAGAAGAGCCAACATGGCATGAAGGTTATAGAAGAGCCAACATGGCATGAAGGTTATAGAAGAGCCAACATGGCATGAAGGTTATAGAAGAGCCAACATGGCATGAAGGTTATAGAAGAGCCAACATGGCATGAAGGTTATAGAAGAGCCAACATGGCATGAAGGTTATAGAAGAGCCAACATGGCATGAAGGTTATAGAAGAGCCAACATGGCATGAAGGTTATAGAAGAGCCAACATGGCATGAAGGTTATAGAAGAGCCAACATGGCATGAAGGTTATAGAAGAGCCAACATGGCATGAAGGTTATAGAAGAGCCAACATGGCATGAAGGTTATAGAAGAGCCAACATGGCATGAAGGTTATAGAAGAGCCAACATGGCATGAAGGTTATAGAAGAGCCAACATGGCATGAAGGTTATAGAAGAGCCAACATGGCATGAAGGTTATAGAAGAGCCAACATGGCATGAAGGTTATAGAAGAGCCAACATGGCATGAAGGTTATAGAAGAGCCAACATGGCATGAAGGTTATAGAAGAGCCAACATGGCATGAAGGTTATAGAAGAGCCAACATGGCATGAAGGTTATAGAAGAGCCAACATGGCATGAAGGTTATAGAAGAGCCAACATGGCATGAAGGTTATAGAAGAGCCAACATGGCATGAAGGTTATAGAAGAGCCAACATGGCATGAAGGTTATAGAAGAGCCAACATGGCATGAAGGTTATAGAAGAGCCAACATGGCATGAAGGTTATAGAAGAGCCAACATGGCATGAAGGTTATAGAAGAGCCAACATGGCATGAAGGTTATAGAAGAGCCAACATGGCATGAAGGTTATAGAAGAGCCAACATGGCATGAAGGTTATAGAAGAGCCAACATGGCATGAAGGTTATAGAAGAGCCAACATGGCATGAAGGTTATAGAAGAGCCAACATGGCATGAAGGTTATAGAAGAGCCAACATGGCATGAAGGTTATAGAAGAGCCAACATGGCATGAAGGTTATAGAAGAGCCAACATGGCATGAAGGTTATAGAAGAGCCAACATGGCATGAAGGTTATAGAAGAGCCAACATGGCATGAAGGTTATAGAAGAGCCAACATGGCATGAAGGTTATAGAAGAGCCAACATGGCATGAAGGTTATAGAAGAGCCAACATGGCTTGAAGGTTATAGAAGAGCCAACATGGCATGAAGGTTATAGAAGAGCCAACATGGCATGAAGGTTATAGAAGAGCCAACATGGCATGAAGGTTATAGAAGAGCCAACATGGCATGAAGGTTATAGAAGAGCCAACATGGCATGAAGGTTATAGAAGAGCCAACATGGCATGAAGGTTATAGAAGGGCCAACATGGCATGAAGGTTATAGAAGGGCCAACATGGCATGAAGGTTATAGAAGGGCCAACATGGCATGAAGGTTATAGAAGGGCCAACATGGCATGAAGGTTATAGAAGAGCCAACATAGCATGAAGGTTATAGAAGGGCAAACATGGCATGAAGGTTATAGAAGAGCCAACATAGCATGAAGGTTATAGAAGGGCCAACATGGCATGAAGGTTATAGAAGAGCCAACATAGCATGAAGGTTATAGAAGAGCCAACATGGCATAAAGGTTATGGAAGGGCCAACATGGCATGAAGGTTATAGAAGAGCCAACATAGCATGAAGGTTATAGAAGGGCCAACATGGCATGAAGGTTATAGAAGAGCCAACATAGCATGAAGGTTATAGAAGAGCCAACATGGCATGAAGGTTACAGAAGAGCCAACATGGCATGGCATGAATAGAATTTTCTACAGGACTAAATGAATATAAAGCCCAAAAGCCCAGTGAGAAAGTGAGAGCGTCTTATCCAGGAGCGCGCAAGAGCTCTCTTTTCACTTCACTCTCTTCACTTCACTCTATTCATTTTGGACCTCTCAATTCCCGTCCTAGGTCTTTCATTTTGGTATTGTGTGCGTAATAGAATTCCCTACAGGAGTATATGCAAATATAAAGTCTAAAAGCCCGGCATACCATTCAAAGCAAACAAAGAAAGTGACGGAGCGTTACCCCAGTGAACGCTAATAAAGAGCAATAAAATGGGTATGCTCTTTTCAACTTTGTTACCTCAATTCTGGTCCTAGGTCCTTCATTTTGGTATCAATGTATTCACAATAAAATTCCCTACGGGAGTATATGCATATAATGTCCAAAACCGCGGTGCGCCCCTCCCGAAGCCGCCACTGATTTGCCGCCCGCTAATAACTGTACTGCCGAGGACTCAGTGCTGAGTCCTTACCGGGCTTCCCTCTATTTAACGGAGGAATTAATGCCGAGTTGTCGCTGATCGAAAGTGTTAAATTAATAAAAATTTAGATTAGCATAGGAAGTAACAATAAAGCACCAAGTAGTCTGGAAGTCATGACTTACTATGTTTCGGTCAGCACAAGATATAATACAGTAGAGGGATTTAGTGTTTTAAGTTACATTCATCTTCCTCCTATAAAGTAAGGAATCAAATTCCTTTAGATGTAACAAGTGTAACTAAAAGTTTTATTTAATTAAAATCTATTTTTCATATGACAAAATAAACATGCAAACTATATTTACTTTTCAGTCATTATTCATGATGCTGCTGCTTCTGTTAGCCAAAGGTTGGGCCATTACTCGGATGATGTTGTCTCGCCGCCTCCTGCTCTTCTCCCTCTGGGGGCTCTACTCCATTCTTATACTCACACTCTATTTCTGGAACATGGTGAGTATTTTGTCTTGGACATCTGATCTTATTCTGTGCACAAATTTATTTATTTACTTCTGTACACGAGGGTACAATGGGTTTTGAAAGTACAGTATGTCCGTTTGTTGGTGATTTATTGGTCCAGTCTTGCAAAGCCAATGGGGAGCCTCCGGGTTTCACCCAGAAAATGTCGTTGCATTACATTCAACACTGTTTTTTTAAAGATTTTTAACATAATTTGTAGGTTGTGTGGGGGATCTGTGTTCTCCTATTTCACATTCCATAACATGGCATTTATTCACATTAAATTCCATTTGCCAAGTGGTGCTCGATGCACTTATTTTGTCCAGGTCTTCTTGAAGGGTGTGACAATCATCTAAGTTTGTTATCTTCCTTGCGTGAAATAATGTGTACTGTATAATGAAGTGCTGGAAGTCGTCGACCAACTTAATTTAATATTTAAATATTTAAATGATATAAAGAGTAATTTATGCAATTAAAGTTCATGGTAATGTATGTCAGGAAATGGAGGTGGCTGGTGCAATGAAAGCCCAGGTAAAGAAAAACAAGATTTTTTTAATTTGTTATACTCATTTCTTTGATTTGATAACTCTATTTTCCATGAGACTGGGAACAGAATACAGTAATGATAATGTATTTATGTAATGTAGCATGAAAATTAAGAGGGTGTTTGCTCATCTTACTAGATGGAGGTGGATGTAATAGAAGACATAGATGAGTACCAGACGTGGCCAGGATGGTTGACCCTGGCATTGCGAGTGCTCATAATGGTGTGGTTCCTGTTCGAGCTCCGCAACACCATGACGTACGAGCATAACTCCAACAAGCTGCACTTCTTCCTGCACTTTGGTGCAGCCTCCTTGGTCTGGTTCATATACTTGCCTGTAGTGGCACTCATTGCACTCCAGATTTCACCATTGTGGAGATATAAGTTATTGTTGGGTAAGTGTACAGAAAGTCGGTGCTTCTGACTTCCCTCTCCACCTCCTCCTCCGTCCTTGTCCATCTCTTATATTATATTTCCTCCTCCAACCATATCCACTACCTGTGCCTACCACTACTCCTCTACTCCCACTACTCCTCCTATTCCCATTACTCCCACTCCTCCCCCTTCCATCCCACTATTCCTCCTCCCCTCCCACTACTCCTCCCCTCCCACTACTCCTCCTCCTCCCCTCCCTCTTCTCCTCCAACTCCTTCCCCACCCCTCTCTTTCCTCCTCGCCCTCCCCCCCCCCTTCCTCCTTCAAGTTCAAGTATGTTTATTGAGACAAGAAAGAACTACATCTCCAAAGGATAGAGTAGCTTAGGCTATTTCTACCCCCCGAACCCTTCCTCCTCCTTCCCTTCCTCCTCCTCCCCTTCCTCCTCCTCCCCTTCCCCCCTCCTCCCCTTCCCCCTCCTCCCCTTCCCCCTCCTCCCCTTCCCCCTCCTCCCCTTCCCCCTCCTCCCCTTCCTCTTCCTCGCTTCCTCTTCCCCCTCTGCCCCCCTTCCCCCCTTCTGCCTCCCTTCCCCCCTCTTTCCTCCTCCCCTCCCCCCACTCTTTCCTCCTTTCCCTTCCTACTACCTTTTCCCCCCTTCCTTTATCCCCCCTCATTTCTCCTCCTTGCTCTGCCTCATTTCCCCCTAATTCCTCCTCCCCCCTTCTTCATCTGCCTCCATCCTCCTGACCCTCCTTCCTCCTCCCCCTTTCCTTCCTCCTCCCCCCTTTCCTTCCTCCTCCCCCTTTCCTTCCTTCCTCCTCCCCCTTTCCTTCCTTCCTCCTCCCCCTTCCTTCCTTCCTCCTCCCCCTTCCTTCCTTCCTCCTCCCCCTTCCTTCCTTCCTCCTCCATTTTTCCTCTTCCTCCACCCTCCTGATCCACCTTTCTCCTCCTTCCCCTTCCCTTCTTTCCCCCCCCCCCCCTCTTTTCTCTCACATCAGACTACTACTCCTTCCCTCTCCTCTCTCGTGTCCTCCTCTTTCCCTCTCCTCTCTCGTGTCCTCCTCTTTCCCTCTCCTCCTCCTTCCCTCTCCTCCTCCTTCCCTCTCCTCTCTCCTCTCCTCCTCTTTCCCTCTCCTCTTTCTCTCTCCTCTTTCCCTCTCCTCCTCCTTACCTCTCCTCCTAAACCCCTCCCTCCTCTCGGGGGAGGGCTCCTTCGGGGAGCCGGTCGGCCGAGCGGACAGCACACTGGACTTGTGATCCTGTGGTCCCGGGTTCGATCCCCGGCGCCGGCGAGAACAATGGGCAGAGTTTCTTTCACCTTATGCCCCTGTTACCTAGCAGTAAAATAGGTACCTGGGTGTTAGTCAGCTGTCACGGGCTGCTTCCTGGGGGTGGAGGCCTGGTCGAGGACCGGGCCGCAGGGACACTAAAGCCCCGAAATCATCTCAAGATAACCTCAAAATAACCTCCCTTTTCCTCCCCCCTCCCTGCCCCCCTTTCCTCCCCCCTCCCTGCCCCCCTTTTCCTCCCCCCTCCCTGCCCCCCTTTTCCTGCCCCCTTCCTTCTCTGCCTTTCTCCTCCTCCCCTCCTTCCCTCTCTCATTCTTTCTCTTCCCATCATTCTCCACCCCCCTCTTCTTCCTCTCCCCTCCCTCATTTTCCCTTTCTCCGCCTCCTTCCTCCTCCCCCTCCTTTCTCCTTCTCCCCCTCCTCCCTCCTCTCCATCTTTCCCCTGCCCCTCTCTCCTCCCCTCCCTATTCCTCCCTCCTCCCCCTCCCTACTCCCCCCTCCTCCCTACTCCCCCCTCCTCCCCCTCCCTATTCCCCCTCCCCCCCTCTCTCCTCACCCTCCCCCCCTCTCCTCACCCTCTCCCCTCCTTCTTTCTCCACTCCTCCTCCTTCGTTCTTCACTCCTCCTCCTTCCTTCTTCACTCCTCCTCCTTCCTTCTCCACTCCTTCTCCTTCCTTCTCCACTCCTCCTCCTCTCCCTTCCTCCTCCTCTCCCCTCCTCCTCCTCTCCCCTCCTTCCCCCTCCCCCTCCTCTACCATCATCATGGTGCACCTTTTCAGGGGTCTATATTTGTAATCATAACCTCTGTCAGAGAACAGATGAACTTCAACTTGAGAAGAAGACAAGTGTAAGAACCATGCAGCGAGTCATTATATGCCTTGCATGTCTCAGTGTGTCTGGAGTATACATAAAAAGTTCTTGCACTTTGCTGGTTCCTTTCTATATGTCTGTGGTGCAAATGTCTAGAGGTTGGTGACTTTACGCTGATATTATTATGTGCATTTATGTTGAATATTTTCCTATCCTTTCATCTGAAAGGGAGTATATTGTGTATATTATTTCCGATACACTATATCTGTTTATATGTGCATTTTATTTTTATTAATTCTTTTGTGTGGGATTCTTGCAGAGTGTGAGCATCATTTTTAACATGCCACTTTATTATTGACATGACCAATATTTTTCAGGTTTTACGTATTCGGCGGATTTGTTGGCCCATTCCTTCATGACGTACATGCTGTGGCCAGAGAGGTCTGAGCAGTATCTCCTCCTAGCTTATGAGGCCGATCTCTCCAATGAGTTAGACGAGTTCAACGAGGCTCCACACATCATTAATCATTCAGACTCGGCCCTTCTCACCCCAATGTTTGATTGTGACACAGAACCTCTTAAGATTAACACATGAACATTTTATAGAACAAAAGTGCCAAAGAAGTTAGTGATTTTTCATTGAAAATTATTATTTCTATTCTTTTTGAAGTAAAATAAAAAATGTATATTATAGCTTTATGATTATTTTCAGAGATGCTGTATATATGTATGTATATTTGTATATGTATATATATATAAAATTATATATATATATATATATATATATATATATATATATATATATATATATATATATATATATATATATATATATATATATATATTTGTGTATTGAATGCCTTGCCTCAGCTGGCCCCCCTAAATACTACTATGGGAGATGCAAAATATTATCACAAGGAAGAGTATCTGTTTCCATTCCTGCCAAATAATTCACTTCTGAGTAAATCTGCATCTTGGTACCATTCATCACTCATGTTGAAAGTTTAACAAAAAATGCCATTATTCTTTGTGACTTCCCAAAAATAAAACTTGATAATTTCTGAGCCTGCAGTTGGTGTACCTTGGTTGTGATGTTTGACTTGTTTGTTTTATCAGTTTTTGAAAGATTTCAACTCTTCTCACTTTTTTTTTTTTAACGTGTGTAGTGCAGCTTTAAATTATTTATATTATATCTGGGCATAGTGTATGGGCAGTATACTGTTGACAGTATTTTGAGAAATATCAAGAGGTCATTATGGTTAATAGGAGTACTGTATATCTAATGAAGGAAAGAGATTCAGCACTTGCCACCAAGGCCTCATTGCAGGTTTCAGCTGATAGGCAAAACTTGCAGCTGTGTATTCCCTGTCCATATAGACCATTACATGAATATCAATCCTTTATGCTCTTGGGGTGTCAGTTGTATTTGATTAAGCTTTTACCCAACATTGCCAGTAAAAATAATTGTCAATGATTACATCTTTTACACACAAATAGTCTACGATCGCTAGTCTACCATCTTTCCCCAAAAGGATACAATGCATAATATTTAGTAGATTAGACACCCAACCCACACATCTGAAAAAGAAAGGAATTTATGATGTTTCAGTCAGTCCATCCTAAACCATTATCAGGACGTCATCACTTCCTTTCTTTTCATGTGTATGGGTTGATTGTCTAATTTTCTGTCATATTATTATGACGTGACTGCATTTGGTCCATTGCTCAAGCTCAGTGAGACTTTTGTTAGGTTGCTGGTGTTGAGATGCCTTTTGTTTATAAAATTGTAGCTGCATTCTTACCTTTAATGTCTTTTTCCTTGAATTTTTAATTTCTCAATTTTTGTTACATTTATACTGTACTGTACTTTCTTTTTAGCTCTTTGACTGCAACACCCACCTCAAACTCTGATTCCTTTTACAAGCTGTACATAAGTAATAGGTAAAATTGCCTTTCTTTTTTATCTGTACCCTTTTGTGTATGTGAAGTAGGGCACAAATTTTTTTGTAACTATTTTTATGGCAAAGTTGTACAAAATATATATTAAGAAATGAACTCTATTAAATCACTTTAAATACTGTTTTAAGACAAACAAAAAAAAAGGTGCATTGAAGTTTGGGGAAGCAGGCTTAGATGTAAGGAAATGTTCTGAAAGATTAAGATGGATTTGTATTCATGTTCAGGTAAGAGAAGCATTTAAGTAAGAGGAGTGAACTGAAGAATGGTTCTAAGTGAAAAGGATTTCATGGGAGAGTAATTGCCTAAACATAGGTAATATTTTTGTTTCAACTTTAAAAGATGTTACTGTATCTAGGAAACATTCTTCTTTGTCATAGGGGAATGAGGTATGGGGTGTACAATGGCGGTACATATTGAAGTACTTTATTAAATGCTATGTAATATTGATCAAAGTAGCCCTATCACTCTGTATTCAGTGTATTGTTACTGCACATTATTTTGTAATCATTGAATATGTTTATACACTACTTGAATCTCCTCCCTTTAGATTATGCACCACATTTTAGTCCCCCCTCAGTAATCAATTACACATATAGTGACTCACTGGCCATATAAAATGAGAATATATTTATCAGTTGTCATACTGAGTAATTATAAGTCAATATATTAGCCATATTGTCACTGAATAATATATTCATGTCATAGTACTTATTAAGTTTAAGATAAAGATGGTAATCATTGATTATAAGTAGATAAATCATGATTGCTCTCTTAGTACTGTATTATAAATGATGTGACCATAGTCATGTAGGTAAGCTTACATTTTTATAGTGCAATATATTATAGGCTGCTGTATATTTTTTGACCCAGTACTAAGTCAGGCATGAAATGTAGGACTACCATGTATTCCTATTATGTAAGCTCATTTACGTGCTCATTTTTTAATGTTTATCCTTATAACAGGAATCATTTTATGGCCAAATTTTGCTCCAAGCTATTGAGAAAATGTGTGTATGGAAGAATAGCAGGTACAGTAGTATGAGAATTAAGAGTTTTGTATATTTTGTTCTGCAATACTTGTATTATTTCTATTATTACTGTAGAATTGGGATATTGTTCTGTACAGTATTCAGTCCTTAGATTAAGCCTTGTTGATAGGCAAGGAGGCAAAGCTTTTAGCAGTAGAACCTGTTAATCTTCTGATATTAGGTACTCAAAGTGAGGCTAATGTGTGTGCATATGAAATTTCCTCTTAGAGAGAATTGTGGTACTGTATTGGGCTGTTAATTGTTTGACTAAAAAAGGTGAGAGTCAAGAACAAAATAAATTGGTGTTGCAAATTTATGCTCATTTACAGCCAGCTTTGGTACATATACTACTAAAAAGCTGTGATGGCCATGTGGAATATATTAATTGTTAGTATAAAGTTTATGTAGACCTTGTATATGTTCGCTATTGTTTATTATATTCATAATGAATATATTAAAATATCTCTGTATTTTGCTATTATGTAAGAAAAGATAATTTGTATTAGTTAAATAAAGTGCTTTCAATAAACCATAAGCTGCTATTAGGAATTATTGCTTTGGTTTATATGTCTCGGGTTTGTTCTCAACTCACAAACGAGAATTCCGGATTCGAATCCTAGGCAGGACAGAAATGGTTGGGCATATTTTCTATCGCCTAATGCCTCTATTTAGTAAATGAATACACAGGAGTTAGTCAGTTTGCTGTGAGGTTGCATCCTGGGCAGGGTCAGTTGTTCGACTATGGGGAAGACCTTGATATAAGCCTAACGTACGTGTGTGTGTGTGTGTGTGTATGTATCTCACACACACACACAGACTGCCTGTTCCCTGATAAAATGAGTTTAGTATATCACTCGGAGAAGATGAAAAGCCGCGGTGACTTGCATCAGTGTACTGTATTCCGGAGAAAAGATACTGTATTCGTAAAGGGTTATTATTTACCTTGTCAAGTGAATTCTCAGTGGTAAGTGACCTAATGTTATTGCATATTACTGCTATGGAAGTTCTGTAGTGTGATGAATTATTACCACTCCCAAACTACTTAATTATATTGTTACAGTATTGATCCATAGTTTACATTTCTTTCAGTAAAATAATATATACAGTACTGTATTTTGGTACAGTATTTTATTACTAATAAAGTCTTAATAATATGTATCAGAGAATCCACTGGAGCTCTGAGGTGAGTTGAGCCCACAACCAAGGTACTGCCAGCTGCACACACTGCCACAGTTTGAAGCTGGCAGTACCTTCATTATGGGTTCCACTCCCCTCAGAGCTCCAGTGGATTTTCTCACTGATGTACATCACGTTAGTGTGATTTCTTCACCATGGTTTGTCTGAACTGGAAGGAGTATTGTCCCATTTGTGACTTGTCCGGACATTCTAAAACAACAATTACATATTATTACCTGAAGTAAAACAAAAATTAAAACCAATAGTCCTCTTCACATCCTTAATTTCATGTCACAACATCTTCCATCTTTTTTTTTTTTTCTTTCAGAATAAATCTTTCCCAACCTGTGAATGTTGTCTAGTCAAAAGAAGAAAACTGATTCCTCTTTTGTCATTCCCTGCTACATCTTTTCAAAAGTGAGAAACAATGATCATGCCTCCAAAATCACCACCACCCTTCTCGATTAACCACATAATGTCCCAATTCTTA